GGCATTCCTTCCCATCCTATCTCCATATTTTCTGGTTCTGGTTCCGAGCTCGGGTTAGGGTTTAGGGATTTACCCCCCAACAATGGCGTCCTCGTCGGCGATCGAGATCGACGAGGAGATCGAAGGAGAACAAGTCGGCACCTCCGATTACTTCTTCGAGAGGATTGGAGAGCCCGTCCCCATAAAGCCCTCCCCTTTCGGCTTTGATTCCCAGTCTCTCCCGACTCAGCCGCTCGCCGTCTCCGAGCGCCGTGGCCTCGTCTTCCTCGCTCTCTCCTCCGGTGTGTATCGACTCTCGATTTCTCTCTCTCTGATATGATAAACGCGCTTGTTTTTGCTAACGACTGCCATTTCCCCTTCCCTTCGCCCCCTAGGGTTTTGCGTTGCGAGGACTGAGGAGTTGATCGCTCTGGCGCTCGAGATTAAGGAGAGTGGAAAAGCTTCCTCTTCCGTACAGCAGTGCAGCGTCGTCGATGTTCCCCTCAGGGAGGTTCAGATTCTCGCGCTTTCTTTTGATGATTCGACGCTCGCGGCTGCGGTTGGAGGAGATGTTCATTTCTTCTCCGTCGATTCGCTTCTCGCTGATAAGGTGAAATTGAATTGGTTTTTCATTTCTGTATTTCGTTACATTTTGGCCTAATGGAATGTCAGGTATTTGAATTTACGGAAATATCATAGATAATATCACTGTCAGTGTCGGTAAAAATTAGAAACTGTATGAATCATGCTAGTAGAATGTTGGTTTTGTGTTTTCATGTTATCGAAAAAATTATATTTGTTTATAATATCACGGAAATGTCTATAAGATTCTTGAATTCACTTCTCTGGTTGTGTTTTTTTGTGTCAAATTTTTTAATGTGGTGTTGCTTTGTAGGCACCAAAACCGTCTTTCACCTGCTCGGTTGATGAGCCGAGTTGCGTCAAGGATATAAAGTGGAGAAAGAAATCTGAAAATTCTTATTTGGTTCTTTCGGATTTTGGGAAGTTATATTGCGGGACTGTTGGTGGCCCTATGAAAGACGTGATGGAGGATGTTGACGCTGGTACGTTTTATTTATTTGTTCAATCGTCTGGTAAGTCTTATTTATTTGTTTATTTGGGGAACAATATGAAGCTACTATTTCTGCATTGTCTTAACGGTTATCTAGCGTTGACTTGTAGAACTTATGTTTTTTGCACAAGGCACACACATGTAGCAAAACGAGTGAATGTACCTGTATGTTTCTATAATATATACTTGTAGCTGTAAATTCTCACTGGACACATGATGGATACACATTTACAGCTGAAATGAGTGAAATTGGAAAAGTCAGCGAGACTAGTATCAAATGAGAGTTAGCTGTTCTGAGTCTTCTGACTGAGAGTTTGAATCAATTAGACAATTACTAGAGTTTGATAATTCATACAAAACTATTGAGTGGTTTACTGGCACATAAACTTGGAAAGGCTAAGACTTTAGATGTAGGTAGAGGAATACTTCATTGAATACATGCATGCAGTGTGTTCCTTGCCCAATTTCCCTCCTATGGTGTGTACGTGTATAGTGCAAGTGATTCAAAATAAGCACTGCAGTTTAAATCGACCGGACTCACTAGTCGTTCCTTTTTTTTAAGGAAAGAAACCTTAATTTTTTCTTTGTTTTTTCGTGGACAAGCTACCTAGAACTTGTCTCAATCAAGGTGTAATTGGATCAAATTCTTTTGCACCATTCCCTCCTGTGAGAATTAACATTTATGCAACCATACGTCAGTAATTGAATCTTGTCCTCGACTTGGTGCATATTTCAAACATGTCTTGTGCGTGAATTTGAAATATTTGGCATGGGAGAGTTGCATGTATGTTGGCATGTGGAAGCTTCAGTTAAACCTAATGCAACACCATCCTGCTTTCTAGAACTTCGATTGTGCAAGGTTTATTTATTTTTTCTCTGACATCATTTTATTCTTTTTTTTTTCCACTTACTGTGGAATTAAAAGTTAAAACTCCCAAACTCCAAACCCACAAAATTTGTACTATGTTAGTGTGAATGTATTTTTCTCTTTTTTGTTGATGCTCGTTCTAACTTATGTTTATTTGCAGTTGACTGGAGCGTTAAAGGAAATTATATTGCTTTGGCAAAAGAGGATACGCTTAGGATTCTGTCATCGAAATTCAAGGAAAGATTGTGCATGGTACTTCCATTCAAGTCATGGATTGGTGATTCTGATGCAAGCTGTACTGTAAAAGGTTATATTGTTGTTTTTGTCATGGAAATACCTTTATATCTGATATGCTTTTGAAATTATCATTTTATTTCCAGTGATTACTTTGTTTCTGAGATAAATCTATACTAGTAATGTGTTATGAGATCAAATGCTAGTATGGCGTTAGTTTACTTGGTGATGCCACTTCATAATGATTTTATCAGCTGCATAAATCTTGTGAGTTATTGTACCTTACACTGTTAATGTATAGAATAAGTTCATTATATAGTTTCTAATATATAAAGCACAATGAACCTATGACGCTGAAATATTTTCCTCAATCATCAGTGGATTCTATCAGGTGGGTTCGTCCAGATAGCATCATCTTAGGATGCTTTCAACTGACGGATGATGAAAATGAGGAAAATTACCTTGTACAAGTGATTAAAAGCAAAGAAGGAAAATTTTCTGATGTATGTATATCTCTTTCAACTTTAAAATATTGGCATATATTTTGTTTTCATTTATTATTATATCTCCAATCAGGACCTAATTAGGTGATCTGAACACGTTTAGTGGCATTATTTTTATTTGTTATATCTCACCTATGCATTTTTTTGTTTCGATGAATGAGTTGTCCTGTGTATGTTGGGAATTTACTTAAATGGATAATTCGAATTGAAACTAGGAATAAACTCAGATAAAAAAAGTCCTTGCTCCTTAAGAAGTAAAAGGGGGAGAAAAGTTTGTGACCAACCAATTCGAATAATATAGCTAGTTTCTTGTGGCACTGCATAAAAGATTGCCCTGATGGAAACCTTTTGTAAGGCCAAGTTTTGGCCTGCAAGACCTTATGGGGGTCTCGGTCCCTCTAGAGTTTACCTTCAGATATTTTTCTTAACCATATTAGAATTCTTGTAGTTCAAGATTTTTTTTTTTTTTTTTTTTTTTGCCTGATTGTTCGTATCTTGGCAATGCTTATTATAGTTGGAGCAAGGTATTCCTAATGTTTGTAAAGTTGCAGCATTGTATATCTTGGTAGTCTTCATCTTCATCTTCTGGAACTTCTCTGGCAGGCTTCTACGAAAGCTATCATATCTTTTTATGATTTGTTTTTGGGTGTTGTTGACGACATTCTGCCATTTGGAAGTGGGCCGTATCTATTGTTGAGCTATCTGGAGCAGTGGTATGTGCTTTTCATTCTGCTCCCTGAAGAGGGGTTTTTATTTTATTTAAAAAAAAAAAAAGAAGAAACAAGAACTATTATTGAAAAATAAGAATCATGTACAAGAATATGAGAGGGAGAGACTTCCTCCAAAAAAGAGATTAAAAATTACAAAATTGAGGCCCAATCCCTAACAATGTCATGTCAGAAAGAAGTATTTTTATGTTGACTCTCGTACTACTGAACTGATGATTTTTGTGCTGTTGCTTTGCCTTTTCACCACATATGATGTTTGACTGAGTAGAGTTCCATATGCAGATTTTTTTTTTTTTCGTGGTTGGGGTATATTATCTAAGTCTTAAAGTATGTCATCTAAGACTGATTGGTCTCAATTAATAGTTACTTACCATTGGATTATCATAATTAGCATTGGTTGTTCTTGAAGCCGTGCTTTTTGTTTCATTTGATTCGGGAATATGTTTTGTAATTTCTTATGTATTTAAGTTCGTCTTGTTACGTAATTCATAAAGGAGCAGTATGTTGGTGTCTAAACATTGGGGGTGCGTTTACTAAACCGTAAAGGAATGTAATGGGAAAGGTAATGAGATTGGAAAGAAAAGTAAAATAATAGGATTAGGGGTCATTTATTCCCTTTCATGTGTTTACTTGACTATGAGATGGTGTAATGGGAAGCAATCACATTCCCTTTCTTATGTTACTAAAATTAGGAATAGCAATTTTATGAATGTAATCACTAAAATGTGCTTTTACACAATTAAATAATCACTGATTGTATAGTAATTCATTAAGGGTTGTAAGTTTCTGAGGAGAAAAATATAAATCCTTTCTTGATTTAATTGGTGCAAAACCGGAGTATAAATAGGATACAAAAGGACCTAGTTCCCGTGGCTTAGTGAATCCGGGAAACTAACCCTAATAGGATAGAGAAGCTATCCTCAAGATATTCCTAGAATCTTTCCTAAGAAATAGGAACTGCCCCCTAAACTAGGAGAGATATGCGATATGGAGAGATATGCGATATCTCCTAATTTAAACAATATCTCCTAATTAATTAATTAATTAATGTACATAATTCAATACTCCCCCTCAAGTTGGGTCATAGATCCCACATGCGTTATCTTGCCGCTGTGCATGTTCCACCATGCCAGAGAAAGCTGCCTTGTTGTTTGTCAGAACATCAACAATGGAGGGCAGCTGCAAGTGTACATAATCAAATTCATCTTTTAAAACACAAGAATGGACTCCACTGTTATCTTCTTTCACTGGTGCAGCAAACTCCTCTACAGTAACATCCTTGGAAATTTTGATGTCATTGACATCTTGTTTCCCATATCTTGAAGCCCATCATTACTAGCACGAGATTGAAAACCAACTTCATTTTCAATGCCTTGGTCAACCTTGCCATCAAAATTCTTCATAGTCAAGTCTCCTTGAACATCCATTGAATCTGAAACATCTGTTGTTTAAGTTGGAAGCAACCTGCTTGAACGGCCTACCACTTGCTCTTTATCGACTTCCAATTTTGACAACTCTCTCTAAAACCAAATTTGAAATCTCTTTCTCAGGTTTGGCAAGTACCTTGAATTGTCGTGTATAGTCAGCCATGGTATCCTCTTGACATTTCACTAAGAAACTCTCATGTAAGGCCTCATCGGATGACAATCTGAAATGCTTAAGCAGATGAGTCTTTAATTCATTCTAACTGTAGAATGGGCAATGAGCATCCCGCCATCGATTCCAAGCCAAAGCATCACCTTTCATAGCCATTTCAACAGCTTGGATTTTCTCACTATTCGTCATTCTATAGAACAAAAAGTATCGTTCAGCTCTAAAGTCTCACCCATCAGGATCTTCTCCGGCGAACAATGGTATATCAATTCGCTGAAATCGTTGATCCGCTCGGCCCTCCCATAGGGTGTCGTGCCACCTTTCCCTCTCCCTACTCGAAACCCTTGGATTGATTCTGACTCCAAATCGAGAAGACCCAACTCGCTCTCTCAAATCGGATTGCAAAACCCAATCTTCCTAACCCAACTCAGATCTGCCAGACCTAGCCCCAGTCATGCCAAAACTTGAAGATCCAATCCATATTTGGCTGTAATTGACTCTAATGTTGTAAGTTCGAGGCCTAACCCAAACATCACCGGAATCAGTCTCAATCACATCAGAATCAGAAAACCCAGACCTAGGGCTGCCGGAATTTCGGGACCCAACCCTAATTTCACCGGAATCCACCCAAATCGGGCCGAACTCGCGTGACCCAGACCGAATTCAGCTGGAATTAGCCTTAGACGCACATCGGAATCGCGACACCCAGTCCAAATCCGGCCAGAATCACCTTCGAATGCACCCGGATCGCGAAACCCAGCCCCATCTATGCTCGATCCCGTCGCGAATCTGCTGTCGTTCACTTCACATCTAGTTGATCAGCTCCAGTTCGTGAAAAATCGCTCCAATCAGTTCGCATCTCCACCTATGCCCCACGCTAGCGTCTATCGCCCATCTCAGGCGTCGTTCGCCTTCGTTGGATTTGATCCATAAAAACCTCTTCTTCTAAATCTCCATTTAAGAAGGCATTCTTGACATCTAACTGTTGTAACTCCCAATCCAAGTTTACTGCGATTGAGAGAAGAACCCGTACAGTATTTAATTTAGCTACTGGTGCAAACGTCTCAGAGTAGTCTATGCCATAGGTTTGAGTGAAACCTTTGGCTACTAGACGTGCTTTATACCTTTCTAGTGATCCATCAGATTTGAACTTGACCGTGAATACCCATTTGCACCCCACAGTTTTCTTCTCCCTTGGCAAATTTATAACCTCCCATGTCTGATTCTTCTCCAGAGCCCTCATTTCCTCTAAAACAGCCTCTTTCCATTCGGGTACCTGAAATGCATCTCTAATACTCTTCGGAATTTCCACGTGTGAGAGTTGAGTAACAAAGGCACGGAAACAAGGAGATAGCTTTTTATAAGAAACAAAATGAGACATGGGATATAGAGGACGCCTAGTGCATTCTCTAGTTCCTTTTCTTAGTGCAATAGGTACATCAAGCTCATTTGAGAAATTTTCAGGGATTGGATTCAAACCTGGAACTTCTGGACTTGGTATCGAGGTTGATTCTTGACCATGCTGTAAGTCATTGGTCAATCCACTTGACTTTGGTTCTCTTCTTGAGAAAACTATCCCAAACCTGTTTTCAGTGTTATTTCTTGTTCTAATTTGACTAACACTAGAAGGAGTCAAATTTTCATTATTTAAAACATCTGTAGGGTTATTCTCTTGATCATTCTCTTCAGAATTTTCGGAATTATTTAGGTTTTGCAGAAAATCCGAATTTTGGAGGGCAAATTCTGAGGAGAAATTTCTAAACAGAGATTCACCTTGAACATGAAAGTCAAAGACTATTTTTTCATCTCCCCCTAAAGCCGAATCTGCCTGTGTGTGCTCCCCTTGAAGATGAGGCTGAAAAAACGATTGTTTTTCAAAAAATTGCACATCAAAGGTGACAAAATATTTCCTTTTTTTTGGATCATAGCCCTTATATCCTTTTTTACTTGGTGAGTAGCCTAAGAAGACACACCTAGTTCCTCTAGGATCAAGTTTTCCTATGTTGACATCTTTATTGTGGATATAAACAGTGCACCCAAACGTTTTCAATGGCAGAGTTGATTGAATTTTTGTTTGGGGAAAAATTTTGGAAAATTCACTTATAGGAGTGGCAAACTTCAAAACTTTTGAAGGCATTCTATTTATCAAAAAGGTTGCTGTTAAAACAGCGTCTCCCCAGAAAGTTTTTGGTACTTTATGTGTAAATAACAATGCCCGAGCCACTTCTAATAGGTGCTTATTCTTCCTTTCGGCAATGCCATTTTGTTGAGGCGTGTCAACACAAGAGCTTTGCTGAAAAATGCCATTTTGTGAGAAAAAATCACTCAAAAGTTTTGTGAAATATTCACGACCATTGTCACTTCTTAAAACTTTGATTTTTGTTTCAAATTGAGTGTAAATCATGTTATAAAATGTTTTAAAGATGTGCTCCACCTCGGATTTTTGTGTCATCAAGTAAACCCAAGTCATTCTTGTGTGATCATCTATAAAGGTAACAAACCATCATTTTCCTGAAGGAGTTGATATTCTTGAAGGTCCCCATATATCACTATGCATAAGAGAAAAAGGTTGGGATGGAACATATGGACGAGGGATATATGGAGATCGATGCATTTTTGCTAAAGCACAAATTTCGCATTGAAAAAGAGATGGATCTTTATTTGAGAATAACCTAGGAAACAAACGTTTTAAATAATAAAAATTTGGATGACCAAGTCTAAAATGCCAAAGCATAATGTCATTCTTACTAGAACTAGAAATAACACCTAAGCAAGTATTGGAAGCATAATCTTTAGGAAGTGATCCATCGTCAAAGTAGTAGAGTCCACCACTTAGTTTAGCATTGCCAATCATCTTCCCCGAGGCCATGTCCTGAAATTCACAGTAAGATGGAAAGAAATTAGCATGACATTTTTGGTCAAGAGTTAATTTACTGACTGACAGTAAATTGCATGACAATTTTGGAACATGTAACACATCTTTTAGTGTTAAACATGCAGAAATTTTGATGGAACCGGTCCCTGCTATGGCTGAAAACGAGCCATCAGCCACTTGGATTTTTTTATTTCCTGCACAAGGGCTGTAAGTGGAAAATAAATGGGAACAACTGGTCATATGATCTGTGGCGCCAGAATCTATGATCCATGGGCCAGAAATTTTTGAGGAAGTGAGGGCAGAAGGAGCTTGTTTACCTTGGTGAGCATAGGAGGTAGAAGGAGGATTAGAAATTTGTGGAGACTTAAAGAGTTTTAGAAGATGCTCAATTTGTTCCTTGGTGAATGGAGGCTGTACCGAGGTAGATGGTTGCTCTGGAGTAGTCTCAGTCACGGTGTTAAACGTCCTGCTTCCCTCCTGTTTCTTCTTCCAATTTGCTGCCAATTAGGTGGTTTCCCATGAAGCTTCCAGCAGGAATCTTTGGTGTGCCAGTGCCGTTTGCAGTGGTCACACCACGGCTTCTTTTTCTTATCTGGATCACCCTCATTGCCACGAACTACTAAGGCTGAATTTTCAGGCTCTGCTGGTGGCAAGAATGAACCAGTCATGACTCTCTTTCGTCCTTCTTCCTGCCTAAGTTCAGAAAAAACTTCACGGATTGTAGGAAGAGGGCGTCTGCCTAGAACACGCCCTTTAACATCGTCAAATCCTGCATTAACCCCTGCTAAAAACATAAAAACACGATCAATTTCTTCCCTTTTTTTAAACCTAGCAAGGTCTTTGGGATTCTCCCATTCGTCATTATAGCAAAGGTCTAATTCCTGCCAAAGTGCCAGCATCCTGTTGTAATACGTGGTGATATCGGCCTCCCCCTGCTTGGAATTCCACAGCCGAGTCTTCAATTCATAGGCTTGTGAATAATTTTCCAGGTCCGAGTAGGTTTCACGCACGGCCTCCCATACTTCTTGGGCTGACATGAACAGGTATGGCTTCCGGATTGATTCCTCCATGGAATTGAGAAGCCATGTAGTGATGAGTGAGTTTTCAGACCTCCACTTTCGGAATGAAGAGTCAGAATCCTTAGGTTTTGGTTCCTCCCCTGTAAGAAACCCTAGTTTTCCTCAGCCATCTATGGCTAGTTTTACCGATTGGGCCCATTCTAAGAAATTCCTTCCATTCAATCGTACGGTAGTAATTTGAATGGAAGCATTAGGGTTGAAATCAACATTATTAGAGGCAGAGGATACGGTTTGGGTTGAAGGAAGGTTTTCTGGATTCTTGGCCATGGCGGACAGAGATAAGTCCTAAACCAGGCTCTGATACCATGTAAGTTTCTGAGGAGAAAAATATAAATCCTTTCTTGATTTAATTGGTGCAAAACCGGAGTATAAATAGGATACAAAAGGACCTAGTTCCCGTGGCTTAGTGAATCCGGGAAACTAACCCTAATAGGATAGAGAAGCTATCCTCAAGATATTCCTAGAATCTTTCCTAAGAAATAGGAACTGCCCCCTAAACTAAGAGAGATATGCGATATGGAGAGATATGCGATATCTCCTAATTTAAACAATATCTCCTAATTTAAATAATATATCCTAATTAATTAATTAATTAATGTACATAATTCAATAAGGGTAGATAAGTAAATTTAGCATTCATTCCCTTTTATAAGGAATCAATACCAAGGGGGTGCAAGGATTGGTATTCCCTTTCCTCATTCCCTATATTGTGTGGGGCTCAGTAAATCTCCATTACTAATTTTGTAACTAAACACATTATTAGATGGGAAAGGGAATCACTCCTTACTTTCCCTTTCCCTTTCCCTTTGATGCAAAGTAAACATGCCTGGGAAGTAAGCCGAAAACTGAATGATATTTTGACAATGAAATGTATTTCATCCAAAGGAAAAGTTTTCTTATCATTAATTTTACACACATGTGACATTCAGCCTAATGCATGTTGGGCTACTTTATAAGAGCAGTTCCTATTTGGGTTTTATATATGTTTTGAACAAATCATTAAGTTGTTGGTATCGTGTGTGATAGCTGCCTACTTTCTTTTTTTCTTTTCTTAATGTGTTGACAGTGAACTTGCAATAACTGCTAACAAGAAGAATACAGATCAACATATAGCGTACCTTGGTTGGTCACTAGGAGAGGAAAAGGATGAAGTTGCGTGTCTTGAGATTCAACGTGATAACTGGCTACCAAGGATTGAGCTCCAAGGTGATTTACTTTATAGTTTCGACAAATTATAACTGAAAGTATACAGTTGATTCTTTGTTTCAATTCTGTTGTTCAAGGGGCTGAAAATAGGAGTTTCTAAGTATAATGCTACTGCAGCATTATCTTGTTGCTATTTTTTTTTTTTAGTTGGATGTTGAATTAATTTATTTAATCTGAGCTTTTATGGCCACATTTTCAACCATATAGGGTCTATAACGTCGGACTAGTTCATCTTTAAGCGCCTTGTTTATTGTGATGTTCTGGATTGCTCTCAACTATGACTGGATAGATTCAGTCATGAGATTTGAATATGTGCTTATGGATAAACTATGCTTTCAGAAAATGATGATGATAATTTGATCCTGGGGCTTGGTATCGATAAAGTTTCATGTTGTGGAAAAATTAAAGTTCAACTTGGAGTCGAGGAACAGAAAGAACTCTCGCCGTACTGCATTCTTCTGTGTCTTACTCTAGAGGGAAAGATTATTATGTTTAATGTTGCTAGGTAATTTTCTTATCTCCTAAGTTCTGGTACACAGTCCATGAGTGATGTTCCCATTTGGTTTTGTTTTGGTGGTGGTGGCATCATTTTCTGCATGCCTATGCAGTGATTGTTTATGAACTTCGACTTTTCTGCAGCGTCAATGCTGCTGCAGCTATACCACATGTTGCTTCTATTCTTTATGAAGAGGAAGACGAGCCTAGTGGACCCGAACCTGAAGAGGTTGAGGTATCAAAACCTTCTACTGAACCAGCGGAAGGACAATTGGGACAGCTCCCTTTGGATCTTCAATTGAAGGATGACAAGACAAAGGAACTTGACAAAGAAGGAAAGAGTGAGGTTTCCATCAAAACCAACCTGAAGCCTGGTGATATTAATGAGTCGACAATGTCTGCGCTTTCTTCTAATAAAATCTCGCATAAAGAAGGTAATATTAACAAACAAGATGTGGAGTCCTTGGTAAGCTCCCAGTCTTCTGAAGCTGGTGGGCAACAGAAAGTGCCTTTGTCAAAGTTTGGGAGCACAAATCTGCAGCAAGCATCTGCTAAGGCTTCTCTTCCAGAAGGACCTCGTCACGTGGCTAGTGGACCCGAACCTGAAGAGGTTGAGGTATCAAAACCTTCTACTGAACCAGCGGAAGGACAATTGGGACAGCTCCCTTTGGATCTTCAATTGAAGGATGACAAGACAAAGGAACTTGACAAAGAAGTAAAGAGTGAGGTTTCCATCAAAACCAACCTGAAGCCTGGTGATATTAATGAGTCGACAATATCTGCACTTTCTTCTAATAAAATCTCGCATAAAGAAGGTAATATTAACAAACAAGATGTGGAGTCCTTGGTAAGCTCCCAGTCTTCTGAAGCTGGTGGGCAACAGAAAGTGCCTTTGCCAAAGTTTGAGAGCACAAATCTGCAGCAAGCATCTACTAAGGCTTCTCTTCCAGAAAGACCTCGTCACGTGGTCAAGGACTTCAGCATGGCGGGAACTCAAACATTTTCAGGATTTGGATCAGGTGCTTTTTCATTTGCTGGAAAAACACAAGCTGATTCTGCTGGCCAGTTAAATCATAAGGATATACGTAAGAGTGTGGAGATAGGTAAGCAGTCACCTGCACATGTTGGATTAACCAGTTTGCCAAGTTCTTTTTCTCAATCATCATCAAGCAGAAAATTCATTTCTTCAAAGGATACTGATGTGAAATCTCCAGTTATACCTTCAAGTTATATTCAAGATGAAGGTTCTAAAAATGCTGATCTTAATTCATCAAATATTCCATCTAACCTTCCTGGAAAACTGGTCCATTATAAGGAAACGGTTGGTACATCAACTCCACAAAATTCTGCTAATAGGCTGGTCCAGAGTTGGGGACACAGATCTCTTGCAGGGCCTGGTAGTATTGAGTCATTACCTTCCATTCGTAGCTCACAGGTATCATCACAGGAAAATGTTGTGCTTGGTGACTCTGCCCACCACAAGCATCATCCATCAAAGGAAAATTACAGAACTCTGCCCCAGTCAGGGATGCTGAATTCTGAACCAGTTTTATCAAAACAATTTGGCAATGTAATGAACATATCTTTTCATCTTTTTCTCCAACATGTTTCCCAAACATGATGTGATGCAATCTTGGTTGCTTTTGTCTTTTTGGTTTTTTTTTTTTCCTTCTGCTTCTCAAATAGTTGTGAATTTTTCTGTTTAAATGCTCAGATACATATTTTCTCTTTTTCTTCTTTTAACTGATGGAAAAACGAACTGGGAAATCTGCTATCTCAGTAGATTTTATTGTGTCTAATGATCTATAAGTTGCTCTGGGCTCAGTGATAGAAAATATTATTTTAATCTTATAACATTACAAATCTGATTTTTCCAGAAAATAAAATATGAGGGTTTTTGATTTGTGAAAGAAATCTTCTGGTTATCCCCAATTTATGTTGCATTCATCTTTTTTCACTAAATCAAGGGGGTCGCATTTTTGGTTGCTTTGTATGTTCATCCTTTAGTTTTATTTATTTATTTGTTTATTTATTTTATCTTGTATATTTGTGTACTTTATTCGTTTCTGTGCTTCTTAGTTCTTATGTCTTTTCCTTTTCCATCCAGATCAAAGATATGACCAAAGAATTGGATACGCTTCTACAATCTATAGAGCAACCCGGTGGCTTCAGGGATGCCTGCACAGTTTCACAGAAGAGGTCAGTTGAAGCGCTGGAGCAAGGAATAGGAATTCTATCTGACAAACGCCGAAAGTGGAAGGTGATGCCTTTTGCTTAATTCTTGGCTTGCTGTTATTTGCTACCATGAATCTATTTTGTTTAGACTTGCTTGCTCGAACTTATTTGCCCTACTGTGTATGTCATTGTTAGTTATTAGGGAAAATTTTATATTAGTACCCTGTGTTTTAGCATAATTGTCTTTAGTACCTTGTGTTTTTAGTAATTTTAAATTAGTCCCTTAGCGTTTTATAAAATCGTTTTTTATTACCTTAAGGTCATTTTTTGGCATGTAAAATGTCAAAGTTATTATTCTCATTAATTAACCAAAAAATTATAATAAATTTTGAAAATTTTTTTAAACATTTAAAAATTGAAAAAAAATAATTCTTTAAATTTAATATAATTTTTTTAGAATTTTTTTCTAAATTTGTTAGTTTCTGGTAAAGTAATGAGAAGGGTAAATTTGACATTTTACATCCTAAAAAACGATCTCAAAGTACTAAAAAATAATTTTCTAAAATGCCAAGGTACTAATTTAAAATTACTAAAAACACAGAGTACTAAAAATAATAAATTTTGAAAATTTTTTTAAACATTTAAAAATTGAAAAAAAATAATTCTTTAAATTTAATATAATTTTTTTAGAATTTTTTTTCTAAATTTGTTAGTTTCTGGTAAAGTAATGAGAAGGGTAAATTTGACATTTTACATCCTAAAAAACGATCTCAAAGTGCTAAAAAATAATTTTTTAAAATGCCAAGGTACTAATTTAAAATTACTAAAAGCACAGGGTACTAAAAGACAATTATACTAAAATATAGGGTACCAATATGAATTTTTCCCTAGTTATTACATTGGGGTCATTAAATGTTGTTTTGGTCTTATCATTCAAGCCTTTAAACCTTCACTTGTGGTTGGGATGCTTATATTGAAGTTTCTCAAGCTCCCCTGAAGGTTGGCCTTTTGGCTGCAACACATGTTTTATACTTGCCGTCTTTCTTTCAAATAATGTTAAAATATAAGCTGTATTTGGGTTTTGCAGAGCATTATGGATGACAGAATTGGAGAGGTGCGAAATCTTCTAGATAAGACTGTACAAGGTATTTTGTATGCTAATTTAACATTGCACAAACTTGATTATTTATCTACAATCCCAATGGTATATAAATGTTTGACCATGAATTTGTCTAAAGCTTATTCTTTGAACAATAAAACAAAGCTTATTAGCCATAAGGAAAACAGAGAGAACAGACCAGAAATACCAAAACCTCTAGAAAAGGAATCTCCTAACATTTCTTTAGATTTAGCACCTAATTGTGACTAGAATGTGCACTGGAATTTGTGGTAAATGAAGTGTGGTCGGATTTACTTACATCATTAGCATTCAGTATCCATTTTATCAAATGCTTGTAGAGATAGTTACTGTACTATCTTTACTCTCTCTCTCTCTCTCTCTCTTCCCAAACTCAAAAAATGATTGTTCTTTGTCTCTCTTTGAACCCCTTAAACTTGAAGAAAATGATTGTTCAACTGGTTCAGTGTTGGCAAGGAAGATATATATGGAGGGCATTGTCAAACAAGCTTCCGATGACCGATATTGGGACCTCTGGAATCGTCAAAAATTAAGTTCCAAACTGGAGCTGAAGCAACGCCATATATTAAAATTGAACGAGGTAACTCAAACAGTTTTCTTGCGGACAATGTAATTTTTTGATCTGATAGTTGTGTCATTTCTTTTTCTGTTTGTGTGTTTCAGGGTTTGACCAATCAGTTAATTGAATTGGAGAGGCATTTTAATAGCATTGAACTTAATAAATTTGGTGAAAATGGCGGAGCTCATGCTGGTAAGAGGGCGTTCCAGACCCGATTTGGACCTTCAAGGTATGTCAGATTTACATGTTGTACTTATTTGAGTTACCAATTGTCAGATTTACAGATTGTCCTTATTTGAGTTACCAATTGCCAATCAAATATCTATGAATTAACCCTTTGAAGAGAAGCTAGTTTTCATTCTGATTTTTGTGATGCTCATCTTTTCCTTGTAGGCACGTTCAATCTTTCCACAGTTTGCATAATACAATGAGCTCGCAATTAGCTACTGCTGAAAAACTTTCGGAGTGTCTCTCAAAACAAATGGCAATGCTGAAGATAGAGTCGCCTTCTTTGAAGCAGAAGAATGTGAAAAAAGAGTTGTTTGAAACCATAGGGATTCCTTATGATGCCTCCTACAATTCTCCAAATGTAGCAAAAGTGGGTGATACTCCATTAAGTAGTAAACTCTTACTTTCTTCTGGTTCTGCTGCCGTTAAAGACAAGTCCAGAGGAAAATCAAGCGTCTTGAAGAGTTATGATCAGGAGACTGCAAGGAGAAGAAGAGACTCACTGGACCAGGTAATGTTCTTTATAGAATCCCAACAAGTGAATCTTTATTGAAGAGAATTGTTGACTGACAGTAATAGATTGACAAACCCTAACTCAGTGGTGTCTGAAAGACCACTACTCTCCCTATTCTTGGTTTCTCAAGCCCAATTCAATCACAAAACAATCTACACCCTAGTCAGTTGCCAATCTCTATTTATACTACCTTAATCCCTAACTATTCACATAACAACACTTTATTTTACAAACTTTCTAACCAATTCTAACACACTTTTAATACTAAAAAATAATAATAATAATAATAAATAAATAAATCTCACTCGTAGCTTACGTAACAAACTGAATAACCCGAGTCCTATCATTACCCTCCGCCCAACAAGTCACCTTGTCCACAAGGTTTAAGGTTAGAATTTTGCGGATTAAAACACCAAAATGCTCTCTCAAGAAGCCAAGTCATCCAATGTCGGCTTCGCTCAGTTCATGATTTCCTTGTAAAGTCACCATATCCTCTCCCAACCTAAACTTCATGGTCAATATCGTCTAATTGACCTTCTCTCCTTCAAATGCTAATTTTGACAACTTAAAGGACGACTTTGGTAGTTGTGAGCTGTAGAGTGAACAAAAGCAGTTCACCAAGAAAAAGTATAGATCTTATATGAAATTAAAATTAAAATGTCATGAACAACACCCACTTTTTACAAAATGACCTTGTAAGTTGTAAGTGTCTTAGAATTCACCATTCAGTATATGGTGGTTCTTGGTTGTTCTTTGGAATAATGTAAACACAGATTTGCAACAGGGAATTACTTTTCCACATCTATCTAAGTAATGTTTCTGAAACCAAATATAAAACTTGGTGCGAGTTTCCCGATATCACATTAAAGGTGCTTTTTGGTTTTTAATTTTATTTTGTCTTCAAATGCGTGCCTTGGGCACTGTATGGACATTGTTACCACATATGTTTCACATTAGTCATTAGATACTGGGGTGACTCTTTCCGTGGAAAGAACCTAATTAACTTCTCTTTATCCACTCGTATATATTGGTTTTACAAGTTCCAGGCAATGTTCTTTGCTTCTCTCAGTATCTTGCTAGAAAATCTTTGCAAATGGTAATTTATAGATTTGTTTCTTATCTTCATCAGAGCTGGGCTAGTTATGAGCCTCCAAAAACAACTGTAAAGAGACTGCTTTTGCAAGAAAGTCCTAAGCCAAGTGTACCTACTGATGAACAAACATTTAGCTCTCACATGCTGGAGAGATCTACAAGAACTTGGTCAAGGGATCATTCGACCTCTTCCACCTTTTCTTTATCCGAAAACAAAGGTGAGGCATGAGAAAGTTCTGATTACATTCTTTAAAATTATATAAAGCTAACTTAAAAAGAGTTGCTGATTATTGCTTTGTCATGAAAATAAACAGCTGGCAATTTCGATGAATTCGCAAAACAGGCTGCTGTAAAACAAGCAACTCCATCTATGAACGACACTCCACAATCATTTTCTTTTGCAGGGATGAAGTCTTCCACATTGCAAAGAAACTATATGTCATCATCATCCCAATTGGTTTCTGTAGAAGGACAAACGTTTATGAGGGATAATTTTATTAGCAATCAACTTGTGGAAAAACCAAGTAGTGGCATAACGTCGGTTGAGAAGTCTAATGCCGTCGCAGTGAAAGAGACCAATATGTTTCTGCAATCTCCCATCAATATTCATCAAAAAGCATCACTTCCTACAGTGTTATCCACTCAGACACCAACATTTCTGAAGAAAGCCAGCGAAGAATTAGACTCTAGTGATGAGACTGTACTTTCAAGTTCAGCAATAGATGGTACAGAGAATACACCATTAACCACGCGTTCATTTTCTGAATCAGAAGGGAAAGGTATCTTTTCAATTTCCCTTGCATCTCCTGCTTTTGGAACACAAAACCTTCCCGGAAAAGTTCAACAGCCTAATACTTCAAGAAGTAAAAGTCAAGGTGATGAAAAAGTTTCAACCTTTCCTACTTCCTCGTTATCACTTTCAACTGCTCCATCTTATTTGCCCGTATCATCTTCATCTTCTCCATTTTCATTATCTGTTTTATCTTCAACTGCTCAAACTTCATCATTTGTGATGCCTTTAAGTGGATCTTTCACTAATTCTAACACCACATCGGATGCCAATAAAACAATCTCAACTCCTCCATCATTAGCTTTTGCTTCCCCAGTTCTTCCTTCTGCTACTCTCTCTTCTCAGAGTCCTAAACCACCCACACTCCTATTTTCCCCATCATCAACCAAATACTCAATGTCGGAGACTCCTAGGACGGAGCTGCAAGCCTCATCAAAATCAGATAGCGACAGTACTACCCAAGTGCCAGCCATCCAGCCTGCGTCTTCCAAAGGTGAACCTGACATGACGCCTAAACCTTCAGTGTCAACAACCTCTATAATCAAAACTGCAGCAGAGCTTCAACCTTCAAAATCGGATTCTGGCGCTGCTAACCAAGCACCAGCCACACAACCTGGTCCCTCCAAAGGTGAATCGGATACGGAGCTATCATCTTTGGTATCAACTACCCCAACAATTAAACCTTCAACGACATTGGCATCTGCTAGCCAGCCAATTTTTGGTAATGCTGAAAGTCCTGCACCTAACACGACATTGAAGAATCAGCCAGAACAGCCATCATCTTTACCTGTTCCATTCCCAACACAACTTCCAACTTCTGTGAGCGTTAGTAGTGGAAAACCTGAAAGTTTAGATGTTTCAAACGCTGATGAAGTTGACATGGATGAGGAGGCTCCAGAGTCGACCAATGCCACTGAACTTAGTTTGGGAAGCCTTGGTGGGTTTGGGCTTGGCTTTACTCCTAATCCTTCTGCTCCTAAGTCTAATCCTTTTGGTGGTTCATTTGCCAACACGGTGAGAGGCGTGACAACTTCACCTTTCACCATGAATGTTCCTAGTGGAGAGCTATTTCGGCCTGCATCTTTCAGCATCCAATCTCCACAGACTCCCCAAACATCTCAGCCTGCAAACACAGGTGCGTTCTCTGGTGGATTTGGCACTGGAACAACTGCTCAAGCTCCGACAGGTGGGTTTGGCCAGCCATCACAGATTGGACAAGGTCAGCAAGCATTAGGATCAGTTCTTGGTTCCTTTGGACAGTCGAGACAGCTTGGAGCTGGTCTATCAGGAAATGGATTTGGATCTCCCAGTAGTATTGGTGGTGGATTTGCTGCATCTAGTTCTGCTGGTGGCTTCTCTAGTGCTGTCAGTGGCGGAGGGTTTGCTAATATTGGTTCTACTGCTGGAGGGTTTGGTAATATGGCTTCAGGCGGGGGTGGATTTGGTGGTGCGGCTTCTGCTGGCGGTGGTTTTGGTGGTGCTGCTTCTGCTGGCGGTGGTTTTGGTGGTGCTGCTTCAGCCAGTGGTGGTTTTGCAGCAGCTGCTTCAAGTGGTGAGTTTCGTGCCACAGTTGGTAAAGTGTATATATAGATAGATATATACTTTTTGGTTTCTATTAACATTGCTTTATTATTCTTACTGATTATGGCTATATTTTATGATGCAAACTTTTTTAGGTGGTGGGTTTGGGGCTTTCAGCAGTCAACAGGGGACTGGCGGGTTCTCTGCTTTTGGTAGCAATATAGCAGCAAGTGGAAAACCTCCTGAGCTTTTCACACAAATGAGGAAGTAACATTTTAACAATGTTGACAATATTTTTAAGCCATATGTATGTCTTTGTATACGAGTCAAGAGTCTTGGTAGGCTTGTAGAGGGCTTCTCTTCTCTAATCTAGGGTCCTTGGAAATTCCTCATTCCCACAATCCAAGCCAAAAGGCTTTTTTCATGTTATTTTATTTACTTTTATTTTTCGATGGATAACCCCAATTAGGGCAAAAAGCCTCACTAAAGGCCATCCTTCTAGTTGTGCTGAAATAGCAACAAAGAGAATGGGACCATCATCATAGTAATGAGCTCCATAACCTAAAAGTAGGAGCTTGTACTTATATTATTTTGAAAATGTTTTTAACATGCTTGCGGCACGTTACACCTGAGCAGTCATTATTGCATTATTTCCCACGTTAACTTATTGCATGTTTTACTCATAGTATGAATGTTGGAGAGGAATAATATTGCAGGTGTCAAATTGTTCGGAGAGTTTTGAGTATCAAATGATGTGGTGATTTACTTGGTAGAATATAATCGATAAAAGAAATGCTTTTATTTAGGTTAAAAAAAGTTTTTAAAGATTTACATCATCCACGTCCAAGAAATGTCTGTTATCCGATGAGCAGAAGAAACAAATAGCATTGAGAAATGACCTATTAGAAGTGTCATTAACTAAAGCAATCCGAAATTGTATGCCTTAAAACCCCATTGTGACATTTCTATGCAGATGAGGAGACAAAAAGTATCATAGTTCACGAGGCTGATTGCTAAGAATACCACTGAAGACAAGTTCAATGCGATTGGGCAGTTGAGGAAGGTAAGTGTTAAAAGAACCGCAACATCTTGTTCTACAATGTGGATAAAGAATCTTCGATGGTAGAAACTAGAAATCATAAAAAAGCATATAAGAGGATTACATATTAATAAAGGCTTCATGAATAATTGAATTTTTAAAGAGAAAAATGTATAATATGCCACTAAAATCTAACAGCTGCATATTTACGTCATCTTTGTTGATTTAAAAATATATATATATATATATATGTTGAGTGAAAAATATTTATTAATGTTGAAATAATATTTCAACACACAACATAATTTCACTTATCCTAGGATTTAACTAGAATAGGAGTTTATTATTTTTAGTTTGACCCATCCAAGATTATAAGAATAACCTCTTAATTACAATCCCTTGATACAAGGGAACACCTTTTGATTCCAGTTAAAACGGTAAATACTATTTTTTGTGAATTTGGGAAATTTGGGTTGATTTAAAATTGCGGCTGAACTCAGTGAATTTTGTCGAGTTGCCTAAATACCCCGTTAAGGGATCAAGCCACTTGTAGTTCGAATTTTGGGTTTGAGAATTTGGATAATTCCTCGGTGTATGACCTTATGAGGAATTTACGCACTTTGAAGTTTGATTTAGTTTTGTTTTGACTTTGTCCTTTATGAGGATTTTTTTTGGGATTGAATTTGGTCTTGAAACTGCACCTAAATTTTAGGTTGCCTACGTATCCGAGAGGGAATCAAGTCAATCGTAGTTCAAATTTTGGTTTTGAAAATTTTAAATAATTCCTCGGTGTATGACCTTATGAGGAATTTACGCACTTTGAAGTTTGATTTAGTTTTGTTTTGACTTTGTCCTTTATGAGGATTTTTTTTTAAGACTGAATTTGATCTTGAAACTGCACCTAAATTTTAGGTTGCCTACGTATCCGAGAGGGAATCAAGTCAATCGTAGTTCAAAATTTTGAATTTGAATTTTGGAGAATTCCTCGATATATGACCATAGGAGGAATTCAGGAGCGAATTTGATATTGAAACTGCACCTAAATTTTTAGGTTGCCTACGTATTCCATAGGGAATCAAGTCAATCGTAGTTCTTGCTTTTGGATTTTGAAGAATTCCCCGATATATGACCATAGGAGGAATTCAGAGATGTTTTAAAATTCGATTTGGAATTTTACTTTAGAATTTGGATTTGAAAGTTGTATTTGGATAATTCCCCGGTATATGACCTTTGGGGGATTAAAAGGATCCTTTTTGAATTTGGTGTTGAGATTTTTTTATTTGAATTTGGGATTTGAACATTGTATTTAATCACCATATGGTTTTATGAGACAATGGGCTCATTTTTTTGGGCTTAGGGACTATAGAGGGGCCCAATTTGTGCACTTTAAATTTTAAGGTATTTAATATTCCGAATTTATTTTGAGATTATTGTCTTTTCTCTATATTTTTTTTTATTTCAAAATTCAAAATCAAATCTACCATTTGAATTAGATTTGTTATGATTTGATTTGTTTTGACTGATCTTCTAATCTCAAGAGAAATTAAAATCCCTGATTTTTGCTAACAATTTGATTTCAAAGAAAACTCAAACTTTTATCACCCTCCCTTTTTCTACACGTTTCCTCTTCTTTTAAATATATATATATATATATATTTATATACACACCACGCACTGGAAAACAAAGTGCAACTTTTATATATATATATATATATATATAAGTCACAACCGCATAGCAAGCGTCAGCTAATTTTTCTGCAAACGCATAGCAAGCCCAGCAAACATTATTTCTACACTTCCCTTTCTATACACACCACGCACTGCAAAACAAAGTGTAACTTTTATATATATATATATCAGCCAATTTTTCTGCAAACGCATAGCAAGCCCAGCAAGCATTATTTCTACACTTCCCTTTCTTTTATATATATATATACCAAAGTTTACGTGCTGTGATGCTTGCTCTATTTGTTGGCGGAGCATACCAAAGTTTACGTGTTGTGATGCTGCTTCTCCGCCAACAAATACAGCAAGCATCACAGCACGTAAACTTTGGTATATATATATAAAAGAAAGGGAAGTGTAGAAATAATGCTTGCTGGGCTTGCTATGCGTTTGCAGAAAAATTGGCTGACGCTTGCTATGCGGTTGTGACTTATATATAAGGA